CGCTCTACGGTCCGTCACAGCTATGTTGTCTCAACATCTCAGCTTTCTTCGTCAATTCTGCAGATCTTGACTCAATCACTACGTCTCTTTGGGAGGCAGAATCATGACCTCTGGCATATCTGCGACGTCCCAGTTGTCCGATGCATAGCGGTTGCCAAATGGCAGTAGAGTCGCAATTCGCATGCTATTAGTCCATGATTAGTTGCTATCACGCACAAATTCCTATGATGGGCTTTAGATGGGTTATACATACGTGTAATTGCCAGGGGCAATCTGCGTGCCGTTTGCTAACTTGCCAAACCACATGTACACATGTAGGAACTGGCGGTTGAGATACTCATCAGGCATGGCAATGACATCGTTGACGTCCTCAGTGGCTGGATCAAACCACGTCCGCTGTGAATAACGCCAGAAAGTCGCCGAACCAATAAATCCGTTCTCGCCGGGCACGGGCGGGTATTGCCAAGTGCGCTCACGCCAGCCAGGCTCATAAATCTTCAAGAGAAAAGACAGTTATAGTCCTTGCGGAGACAATTGAACAATTTTATAGTGCTGAAAAAAATTGAAAGAGAACTTACATCCCATCGTATTTCTCGAGCGCCGTAGACCAAAGCGGTTTGGAGCATGGGATAGTCCTGACTATCAGTAGTCATATCAAAGCCCCAGCTTGAGAGGGATCGTTAGCGCATAACAATAGTAATATAATGGTAAATATGAACATAGACTTACTATGGCTTCTGCCAAACATCTAAGATCGGACCGGGTCCACTATTCGTGGTCACACGAGGCCATCCGATCCCTGTCCAGTACATTTTGCTCTTGCGCAGCTCTCGCTTGATATCCCCGACAACACCTAAAGGGGCATTCGTAATTAGCTATATACCATGTAGGGAGAACAAAATCCTTCTTCTCATGAACATACCAAAGTATGGCACAGAGACTTGCTCTCCGTTGCTGCCGGTAATGATAATCTTGCCGCTAACTATGGGCATGTCTGCCCCTTTACGACCCGCAGGCAAGTCCGGCATTGTGAAGATGAATCTGTAAGAAATAGAGTATAAGTATGAACAACACTTCGTAAATATTTTAAATTAATATGATCACCCACTCTGCCTTCTTAGTCTGTCCCGGCTTGACCCGGAAGGTGCCTGCTGGGAACCTCACTGCAGGCTTAAGCTTGTACATCCGAACGCCCCTAAGGTCATTCATGACGGGCGCCCAAGGCGCAATGGTTGAGTCGGTCTCAAATGCATCATATCCACCAGCGTCTTCTAGGGAGAAAGTGTAGACTACCTCTTCGTTTCCGTTGTTTGTGATGTCAACGTTCTGGTACCGCGAAAATTGATGCGTGTCGTTGAGTTGAAATCGTGCTAGAGACAGCTGTGTCGTGTAGTTAAGGACCTTACGTGCGTCGATGAGACCCGTTCCGACCTGTGTCGGACTTGCGAGATGCTTGCCGCCATCAGCCACGTTACCCGGCCATGGCATCGAGGAACCACTGGCGGTGATACGTGCGTGCAGCATCTTAGCGAAGCGCTTCCCATGGACTGAGCGGCCGCCATGCTGGCTGATATACAAGGCCGCCACACCCGCCACGTAAGGTGTTGCCATTGATGTGCCACTCATAGTTGCATAGGAGCCCATCCATGTCGGGTACGTGCTCGTAATGAGAGCTCCAGGCGCGGCAACATCCGGCTTGAGCTGCAGGTCCCATGTTGCACCCCACGAAGTGAAGAAGCTACCCATACCGCCACCACTGAATGGCATGTTGACGTAGCCGTCAATCTCTGAGAAGTCTAGTGTAACGCTACCTCCGGCTGCAATTGTCTTTATCATTGCGGCGCCGGCTTCCGCTGTAATGACACCCAGAAACATGGGATCCCAGGCCCAGGGGTCGCTGAAATCCTTTTCCTCGTTATGATAGAACACGACCCCGAGAGGGTTATAGGGTATAATATTCGCTACCTGTTCATAGTCCCAGCATTGCGTCGAAATGCGAACGAGGACAACTTTGTCGGATAGGTCGGGTGTATCGGCAGGGAGGGGAGAGCATGCATCGTCTTCCACAGTAGGGTCAAGACTCGTAGGATAGACAGAGACGTTGTTCATCGTTGTGGGAAACAAGAGAGGCCCAGGACGGTAAGCAATTTCCTTTGCTTCTGACCCCTGGCTGTCAACGAAGTTGGCGATGATGGGAATAGCGATAATAGTGGATGGGTCGACAGACGCAACGGCCAACACGTTCTCTCCAGACGAGCCGCTGCTCGCGCGAAACGGACCCTCTTCGCCAGAATTTCCTGCGGCAATTGTGACTACAACTCCCTCGTCCACAAGGCGAGAAGCAACTGTTGCCCAAGGTCCGGTGCTCCAGCCATCATCCTCACCAATGCTGGCGGTGATGACGTCGGCGCCGTCTTCATAAGCCTTCGTGAACGCCTCAATCAAGGTTTCATCATCCGTGTAGTCCTGCAATAGGCAAGATCTTCAGTTACAATAAATCTCATGGGTCATTCTAGAAAGCAACTTACAGCCTCAGTAAAGACCTTGTACGCAAGAATTGTAGCTTCTGGAGCCACTCCGGTGTACCTTCACAGAAAAATATGTTAACATCAATCAGCCTCCACCTATCTAAGCGTGGCTCACCAATCGCTTTTCCCAGCAACGATACCAGCCACGTGGGTTCCGTGTCCAATCTGGTCCATTGGGTCCTGGTCAGGTGTTTTAACTTCATCGGGCCATGCTAATCTGATCAATATCTCTTCACACATTTCGACTTTTGCAACTTACCGCCATCTCCGACAAAGTCATATCCTCCAGCAACCTTATATCCTGGTCCGAAGCCGCCTCCCAGCTAGCCGATATCAGCATTTCTCTGCACTTCTAAGCACATCTTCTTCGTAATGAATTGCACTCACCGCGGGATGGCTATAGTCTATTCCTGTGTCCACGATCGCAACTTTGACACCTTTGCCAAAGATTCCTGAGGCGTGTACCTTGTCGACACCGGTCATGGCGTGAACAGAGTAGTTAGACGTCTCGGCACCGTCACTGAAGGTGGACATCTCGATGTTGGGCAGAAGCTTGATGCTGTGTGAGCGCCATGCTTGTGCAACCTGAGGAATTGCCTGGAGAGACTCGGTACTGTGATGCAGAGCTTTAACAGATATGCCCGAGAAAACAGATGACCGGAGCTTCTTCAGCACTTTGACGCCTGGTCGGGACTCGAGTTCTTTCACGGCTGCATCGTAGTTGGCATCCTGTGTGTTTGTCAAACATCAGTAGTTTACCTCAATGGCAGGGCCGATTATCCTTTCATGTAGGCGAGTCCTACCTGAGAGACCTCTACGATGTACTTGTCAGACGCAGGAGGAGCGAGCTGATCCGGGTTGGAGGGGGCGGATGATCTCGCCTTGTACGAGGCGAGCGTCGAGCCCACAAGGCAGAAGGAGAGAATACTTCGAGTGATATGCATCTCAATTGGGCCGAAGGGGAATGAGCGTGACTCTGAACATCGATCATTGCCAGTAAGAGTCGGCGAGACGGGGGTGAGCTTATATGCTCATTCAATCTGGCTGACCTTTCATAATAAATGTAACTCTAACCCTGGGCAGGCAAAACAAGAGGGGATAGCCCATGTATCAGAGACAGGCCGCAGTCTGATCTGGAGCCAAGAAGGGGCACAGATCTCCAAACAAAACCTCGCTCTTCTCTTGCTTACAGATGAGAGAACATTGTGAAGCTGATATCGTGCTCGAAGTACAAACCTCCTGCCTGAATGGTCGTCGTTACGCCAAGATAGACAAGAGACATTCGGTACGGATGATTCGGGAAGATGCAAAGACGTCTTCCAGAAGGCTATCTTCGACACTATCATGATCTCTGCCTCTCCCCCGCATGCCCAGGCCCCAAAGAGTCAGTTCAGAGTGCGTCAGTAAAGGGAGACCTGCCAAATATTGGCTAGATGATTTTAGCATGCATGTCAGACTCTTGGGCTCCAGCATGTAATCTGTAGTGAGGGGAGGTTGGGAATGGCATCCCAGATGGAAATACGCTAAAATGGTCAATACACGTGCCAGGAGACTGGTCAAAGTCCGCCTTGTCATTGGGTTGCCTCGAAAACTCCACGCTCTTTCATTCAAGAGCGACGTACACATTTGATAGCCATCCCTCGCGCAACGAGCGTTCTTTCCTTCCCGTTTGTTAACTCCTTTCGACCAAAGAATTTAGATTTACAAAGGGGTGCCAATTTCTTGATGAAAAGGGTGATCGATGTGCCTTTCCCAGTCAACAGAGATTAGGATGGCTATATGTGACATGGATACCTGTATCAGATAACGATCGACAAGGCTTTAAAGGAAATAAGAGTCAGACTATTAAAAAGGGCGATGCGAGCAGGCGTTCAAAGCGGAGTGGATTTAAAAGATGCAAAAACGTGCAAGCCCTTCCTCCCGGTGATGTTGTATGCGGGGATTGGAAATTTCGGCCGAGATCTAAAAATAACATGTCCACTGGGGCAAAGCTGCCGATTGGACATTTCACCGCTGATTGTCCCGACGACGTATGGAAAGAAGGGGACCAAAGACCTGCCAACCTTATCTAGAGGTCCCTGCACTTGAAGGATTCGCACTAGAGGAGATGAGAAGAATGGTCCTGGGACTAGATTGTGGGCTACAGCGAAATCCGCTGTTTCATTGGTGTTTGTTCAGCGGATGTATGACCGATGATAATTGTTGGTTGTTGAGCTGTAAGAGACACTGAATGAGAGTGATAGAAAAATGGCGAATATTCTTGGAACGCTGGAGACTCGATCGTGAAGGAAGTTGACAGAACATACAATTTGGACAATTCGCCTTAGGAGGTTTGATCTCGCTGTAGAGCAAAAGACTCGTATGGTTGTGTGGGTGGACACTGCAAATGCCAAGGCTTGGCAACACGCGAGGGTCAGAGGCACAGCAAACCAAATTTTGGAGCGCTTCTATGTAGTTATCATGAAAGCAGGGGGTCTGAGTTCGAACGAAACCCAGGATGATGGGTCAAATCTATCAAACCGAGGCTCATTGTACTGTACTGGTGGTATTGATAAGGAAATGTCCCAGCCCATAATTAGTGATTTTGCTGATGGAAACCTTGCTCATGCCGTTTCTAGACCGCTTCTTATCCGCACTTTAAAACTAATCAGAATGAAAATGAACCGGACTGTCAGTATGAGGCAGGTGCCATAGCTTTAGGACAAATACCAAGGCTTATGGCTCCTGTTTCTCCGGCGTGGGATGTGGTGTCATTTTAGTGCTCCCTGATATTGGTAAATCAATGCTTAGCACCAACATGTGTCTTTTGGCTGTTGCTATCATCTAATCCGAGGGCGCGAAGACTTCTTCAGCGCTAGCACCACGAACTCTGACAGGCGAATATCCTGACTTTTCACATATATTTCCAGAACGAGTAGATCATACAGCGAAGAAGACTCTTTGCTCTCTCGGTTGCCAATTCTTGACCTCGAATATACGAATATTGCTTAACATCCAAGGAACGGGTCGTTGCTATAGGCTTGGATTGCGGCTCTTTCAAGCGCGTGCGTAATGATGTACGCGTTCTTATATTGCACACTTCCTTCCAACTCAGGAGATTGATGCGCAAATAGACGGCGCAAACCAATGAGCTCCAACTGACGTGAAGCGTTGCTGACTAACATGACGAAAACATGTGAACTTGGAAGTCCTTGAGCAACCATGGCCATTGATAGAAATGCCTGTACTGAAAGCATGCTTGGCACTCGCAGAATAATATCAGGAATGACCGCGATGGCATTTTGGAAGAAGCCGTCAGGGATATCGGATAGTGTGTTCTCGGATCCTGGAGCCATTTTGGCTCGAATTGCAAGTGCTAATACCGCATTGACAATGGCCCATCTGGCTGGACAGTTCGCAGGTCCGGAGAGGCTAGCTGCATACTGATCCTCGAGAAGCATGACGAAGTTTGAGTGGTCCATGAGCGGATGAGACTCCATGACCTCGGAGAACGTGTTCTCGATCAAGCGTCTTGCAATATGTTGAGGCAATAGTGGAGTCAATCTCCGGCTTGGATCTGCCTCTCCAATACGAGTCTTCAAGGTCTTGAGATGCTCATCGTATGCTCCTGGCAGCAGAAAGTCTGCAACTATGGGGATGGGATTTGTAATACCTACATGCGGCTGAGATAGATCCAGGACAGGGGCAGTTGGTAATGAGAATTCATTTGAGGAATAACGTGTCGCTCGATCCCTTGAACGAGGATCGGTCGAGGTTGCGGAGGTGCTGCTATCTGGTGCAGGCCTGGTATGGTCGTGATTTGGTGGCTGAGTTGGTGGTGTAATTTGTTCTTTCACGAAGGAATTCGTTTGCTTTTTTCTAAGATACGTTTAGTACAGCAAAACGAGCTAGGCAGATATATCAATTTCACCTTTTTCCCGGTCCCCGGGTCTTTCGAATTGTTGGGAAAACACATTCAGAGCTAGCTGCGATGCATTGAGTGCACTTTGGTACTTTGCCATCGCATCGAGCCTTGCGGGCCCTGCAACGCGTACACGCCTGGGAGAGATTAGTTGATTGATGACAGTACTTTCCGCTGAGAGAACCAGGAGAAGGCTGACAGGCTTACGATCGTGATACGCGAGGGACGAGGAGATGTGTTGGCTGCTTCCGACGCCTCCGTGTCTTCCATGGTGGATTTGATAAGACCGCGTTCAACTTTGCTTCCGCTTTCTCCTGTCGGCTTCAAATTAAAATACCAAACCCAACGAGCGAATTGGTGTAGGGGATGTAGGTGACGCCAATGCGGACCTCACTAAGAGAGCGAACGACGGTACTAACAGTACTGACCCAACTTATGACCCCGCTAGCGTTAGGGGCATGGTATATCTAGTTAAGAGGACACTCTGATTAATTTTCGGTATTAGTAAGTAGAAGCGGGACTGGGGCTCGCTGTGCCACACTAAGGAATCAAACCCCGAAGAAATGCTTCCGGGCGGATCTTTCTTACTCAATGTGAAAGGGGGTTTGAGAGGAAACTAATGAATATAAAGCCTCGATCTTTTGCGAATTTCCAATGGAAAGTTCAATAGATACTCTCTTTAATCCACACGTATAGAGATACTTTTGCCCAATTCACCTTATCTCCTCTTCTCTTCCTTCGGAATCAATCAAACCTTAGATCGAGACGGATTCGCCCTCATAGCTCACTTCATAACCATTGACCAATCTTCATCTTAAAGAGAAACAGCATTATCTATTTCACGAAAACAAATGGCTATTGTTCTGCGTGGGAACGATGCTCTCAATATCAATCCCTTGCCGGCTGCTGATAAGATCCTCTCCTTGAACGGCTCTGACTGGTTGTGGGCTGTCACGGCCGTCTATATCGTTGCATTTGTTAGTCGGCAGAGCCTACCTCTTGATTGTCCTCTTTTTGAGACTAGTGTTACTAATTCGTGTTTTGTTATCACAAGATCGGTTTATTGAGTGTCTGCTTCGCTGCCCCTGAGAGCAAGAGAGCCTTTCACTATCTCTTCACTGTTACCCTGCTTGTTGGTGCCGTCACTTATTATGCCCAAGCCGCCAACCTTGGCTGGACCGTAATACAGGAGGCCGACCAGCTCGGGCACGGTGAAACCCGACAGATATTCTACGCCAAGTACATCAATTGGACAGTCTCTTTCCCTTCGATAGCTTTGGCCCTGGGTCTTATATCAGGTATCTCATGGACGACGATCATATGCAACATTGCAATCACATGGCTTTGGATCTTGACATACCTCGCCGCTGCTTTCACCGCCACCGATTACAAATGGGGCTTTTTCGCCTTTGGCACGCTCTCGTGGGTCATTCTCGCAATGAGCACTATGAATGAGAGTCGAGAAGAGGCCGTGCGTCGAGGGATTGGCCGGGACTATGTCATTTTAGCATCCTGGCCGAACCTTCTTTGGTTACTTTACCCCATTGCGTTTGGACTGAGTGATGGCGGCAACCGCATTGGTGTTACTGGTAGTTTCATTTTTTTCGGCATTCTAGACATCCTGATGGTGCCAGTCTTCTGCTTCGTGTTTGTATACGTCTCGAGCAGATGGGATTGGAGCAAGCTCAACATTGACTTCAGCGAGTACCGTGGTTCCGGACAATACCGTCACACCTTCGAAAAGGAGCGCCCAATTGCTGCGAACACTGCCATTGTCGATTAGACCACTAGCAACTAAAACAGCGTTCCCGGCTTGGGTGTACACCAAGAAACTCGGTATAAATCCATGTTGAAGAACTGGTGATGTTATAGGTGTGGATATACTCTTAGATTCACGCCTCAAGTTGGGCTGTCTCTTGTCTTTTTCTCCTGGGAAGGTTGAAGCTCTTTTCTGGTTCGTTCAAACAGGAAAAACTTCAGCATAGATGCGTGGGATTTTATTTACTGTCCTTCTAGGAGGAATTTCTCTTGTTATACACTTGAAAGGCGCGGGGCGCTCGGTTCTATTCATCTGCACCACTGAGAAGTGTGGTTAGCAACTTAGAATTCTTGATTTGTTCCGCCTTTTCCATAAGTTCTTGTGCATCCCAGTTGGCCCAGACAAATTTGCCCTTCAGAAATTCAGCTTCCGGTGACGCAAGCCACACGTAGAACTGTCCAGGAAGCTCCGCTGCGCTCAACACGTTAGTGTCTCAGAAAGAAGAAATAGTGTCCTAGAATAATTGTCACGTACCGACATCTGTCGCTTCCTTTTGAAACCCATTTGCCGCGCTCGCAACCCATCCCGGTTGGATGCTCACGACTCTGACATTTGGATTCTCTGATTGGATGTAATCGGTCAACTTGAGTAGGGAAGTTCGCGCAAAAGAATACGGGCCGAAAGGTGGAATGGCAGGCCAGTGAGCGAAGCATGTGTTTGTGCTTAGCAGAATCGCGTCCGGGCCAGCTAAGGGAAGAAATGCTTGCATCGCGTGAATGGCTGTGAGAACAAAGCCCTGAAAGCTATTGAGGAGCTCATCATCTGTTGCAGTGCTTATAAGGCCGTGACCTCCTCCGCCTCCGGCGTTAGAGACCATGACATCGATCTTGCCTCCTACTTTCTTGGCAATAGACTGCAGAGCTCGAGTTGTCTCTTCGCTGGACAGAAGGTCAGCTTGCTCGTATAGGACCTGTGTTTCTGCGTCTTTTATGATAGCAGCGGAAATGTTGGCGGCCCCGGAGACTAGTTTATCGACACGGCGGCCGATGATGGCCACTGATTTGGCACCTGCCTGAGCAAATGCGACAGCAATGGCATTACCAATACTTGTTCCACCACCGGTCACAACAACGTTCCGCCCGGCAGCAGACAACCCAGGTCGAGTTGGTGAAATGAAGGGGTAAGGTTCCGTGTGCCATGTCTTTGTGAAAGGCGTGATCTTGGGGAAGGTTGATGGATCAGGACCAGACATGTTGACCAGCCAATAGCACGGATCGATTTATTTCTGCTTTAGCTAACCCCCTAGTAGAGATAAATTCAAACATACAAGGGAGGAAACATTTATGCTTTTCTAGTACTTCTAGTCATCGTTCAAGCTAATATTCGACATTCAGGGCTCTAATTGTCTATTTGTCAGTATGAAGACTAACTTCAAAAACCGCCTTATTAAAGTGGCAAAGATCCATTCTCAGGTCCGCGGTCCTTCTCCCAACTGATTAAGTCTCTATTCTTGCGAGGACATGATGTAACCGCCTTGGACAACCGGGCCATGGCCAAGCTGTTCTGCTAATCAACCGCCTAGGCCCCTTTCCTAAACAGGAGGTCCGCGGCCCTGCTTACCTAGCGGCCCCACTTATCCAGCGCCATTAGTTCACCACGAGGGGTTGCCTTCTAGTGTTCAACTCTCCCTTACTCAAGTCGAGTCCGAATTTGCCGGACCTGCTCATAATTATCACGGCTGGCTCTGAGAAACTGGAAACGACAAAGATGCCTCGAAAAGCCCAAGGCGGGGACAAACTGAGTATGGCCCGCCAAGGCCTTGAGAAGCGAAAGGTGTGCGTCCTCATTGACCCCTGCTTGAAATACTGCTCTAACGCTTCAAAGGCCTGCGACCTGTGCCATATCAAGAAGATCAGATGCGACGCAACAAGGCCAACATGTTCGCACTGCGTAGTATATGGAGCGCAGTGTACCTATACTCCACATATTAAAAGAAGGCGGAAAGATGTCCAGGTTCAGAAGAAGTATGTTGTTCTCATGCGCTGACAATATTGAAAACTGAGCCGTTCCAGTGTGGCGATTACATTGAGCTTGAGCGGAAAACGCGCCAGCCCTGAAGTCGAACTGCGTAATCTCGTTTCACACATTCAAACCAGGAGTTCTCTATCGGGGGACATATCAACTTCTAACCTTCCACCCATTGAAGATATTCTTCCCGTCATTGAAGACTATTTCGTGAACCTGAATGGCATAATTCCTCTCTTCGACCGGAGTATGTTTATGCCGATGCTGATTCGAAATGTGACCCGGCAAACCCCAGGTATCATCGCTGCTGTCAATGTGATTCTCGCCTTGGCATTTCAATACCGCGCGACTACTCATTCTCCGATTTCTGACTTCGACCTTCTCAGATGCACCTCCAATGCACAACACATCATGACCAGCCAGGAGAGTGGATACGACAACCTCCTAACTCTTCAAAATTTGCTCGGCCTCATTATTCTCCATCTCGGAACTCCTCACCCAGGCCTTGCTAGGGCGAGTTCCCTGTTAGGGGGTGCTATCAAGCTCGTACACAGATTACGACTTCATCGAAGCAAAGCAAATGACTTATTTGATCCCCAGACTAAACTTCAACGAGTACGCATATTCTGGATCGCTTTTATACTTGATAAGGATATCAGTCTTCGTACACACGAACCACCCCTGATACAGGAACACGATCATGATGTTAGCGTTCCATTCGCGGCAAATGACAGTGGACTCACTCGTTTTGCCTTTGATGATGAAGAAGAGAGCTATATTGATCTTTTTCAGGCATGGATTGACCTCTCTCGTATTCAAGGCAAGATCTACGATGGACTGTACTCTGTTCATGCGGAGAGCCTGTCCCTTGACACTCAACAACACACAACAAGAGAGCTACATGCTAGGCTAACAGAGTGGCTGGAGAGAATGCCCAACCAACTTCGTTCTAGCAGACTAAGAAGTGTGTATCCAAAGACTGTGACAGGACACTTGGTGTTCCTGTACTTCACCCGCATGTCTTGTTTTCTGCACACACATAAGGTCGGGACAAATGACGCTGAATGGATTACGAGGCTAGTCAATTATAGCCAGCGGATTGTTCGCTCTACTGAGCCCGAAGCAGTCTTAGATACGGCGCTCTCGCCTTTCCTTGAGCCCACATCAGCTTGGCCAGATATAGTAAAAGCAGCGAGGGAGTGCGCTACGCTTTTCCGTTTAGTGGAATGGGAAGATTCTCGATTGACATGGTAAAGACACCTAATATTGTTCCTAGAAGGGTTACATATGAGAACACACATGCTGATTGTATTATAGGAGCGTATCATGCACATATATGTCTGCAACTATAGTCTTGATAGCCAACATTCTTACAGTTTCAGAGCATGGACATGAAAGCGAAGTGGCTGTGGACGAGAAATTCGTTGAAGAAGCACTGGCGTTTCTCCAATGGAGCACCAGCAAGATGCCAGACTGGACCACATTTCACAAGCTATACGCAGCATGCGGAGAGTTGAGCTGCAGGGCTCGCGTCGCCCGAGCTAAGTTTGCGCTGGGTCGCCCAGGTCCCAAACCGGCGTCTGTGCTCTGGCTTGAGGAGCACGCAAGCCGTAGTGCTGGGCACTCGGCGCTGGCACTTGTCGCGGCCTTTACTACGGCTGAAGAAAAACCTTTGACTTCGAGGCTCTGGCGGGCGGGACAATGATGGAACGAGTTGACTGCAAGGCACCGAAAGGGACCAATTTGATTCTGTCGCAAGTGGAGATTTTGAAAGGGTCCGAACTCACTGTCAACAATTGGACCTTTGCTGAGAGTGATGACTCATGTACTACGCTTCAGCTTCTTGGACATACAAGCACACAATCCCCCGCGTCTCTTTTCTGAGTTTGATTTAAGAGTTCAAGACGGATGACCAGTCTTCGCTCCTGATATACTCCTCCATCGTAGTCAGTGGAACCTTAACACCGAGCTACACAGGGTTAGTCATTTGAACAGAAACATGTGAGTTACCGGACTTACCTGTTCCGGGGTCAACACATTCGGATCGCCACCTGTATGACCGAAGTCCTCGAAGTATTTCCAGGCGTCTTGCAGTTCACTTTTCAACGGTTCTGGGACAGTGCCAAAGAACTCCTCCCATGAAACCTGCTTGAAGCCTGCCTTGACGCCGAGAACTTTTCCCCAGATAGTCATCCACTCCGGAAATGTTAGGCTTTGAGAGACTCCAAGCACGTCTTTGCCAGCCGGCAAGTCTACCAGAGCTTTCACGTATGGTCCTGTATCTCGCTGTGTGACGACGAATGGAAACTTGGCGTTGGGGCCAGTTGGGCGTATCGTCAAGAAACTTCCATCGGGCTGTTTCTGTGGCGCCATAAGGTGGAATGCCTTCCAGTTTGTAACATAGTGTCCAACCTGCAACGTACTCATCCGCGCGGCCACCTCGGGGAACTCGGCCTGAATGATTCTGATGGCTTCCGCTTTCGAGTCATAATGATACACAGTGGTATACTTTCCACCGCTCCATTTTGTGGCGTCACTCAGCGACGATAGGACGAAACGCTCCAATGTCTTGATCACCGCTGGCGAAGCGGCTGCTGCGGCGATGTTGACATTCTGGGCCACCTCAAGATCGAAGGCACGCTCTTTCGGCGCTCGCCCTGAGGGTGAACCGCCAGGCGCGGCTGCTTTGAACAGTAAAGCAAAGAAGTCTGTGTTGGCAAAGATGGCAGAAGCGCCTTCAAACGCTGGAATGAGCGAGTCCTTATCATCAAGGTCGGCTTTGACTATCTCTACCCCCTTGGCTGCCAAGGCTTGAGCCGCCTCGCTGGATGGATTTCGTGTAATGCCGCGGACGCGCCAATCAGGGAGCGTCAGAAATGTTTCCGCGACAGATGACCCCTGTAAATCATTAGAACAGCCCCACCCCGAGCTGATGACAAATCGAGATGCGTACCTGGAGGCCAGTGACACCGACTACAACAATCGTTTTCGACATGATCAAGATTTCACGAAATTGAGGCTTCCTTTCCTTGCCAAGTAAAACTCAATTCTCCAATACAAGAGTGTACGAGACACCACCGCAAGACTCAATGCCCGGTGGAATAGGTGTTTTATGTGTTGTAGATGTGCAGTTAGGCACGTGAAATCCACTAATACCACCTGGGTCGAACCACCTACCGATTACAAATGACTAAGATTCTCGGTAAACTCATTCTGCCGAATGGGTACGGCCAATCATGCAATGCAAGACGAGACTTATATCCAACGCCATCGAGACGTCTAAATATGATGGATTGCTTGACTCAGATCCTCATTGCTTCGTAAGTTACCAAAGAAGTCCTTTTTCCCGGAAAAATTAGAATTCCGGCGTGATTCCCAGACCGGACAGATTTCGGTCTTTTGCTCAGCACTAAAAGTCCGAAACGGTGTATGAGATCATCTACTTAGGTATGTGTTGCATTATACTAGTGTACTGAAAGTCTTGTAATCTAGATATGTTTGTTTTGTCAGAACTTTGCCGCCTTATTGGCAGTCGTGCTCTCAATGTTGTCTAATGAATTCAATCAACCCTCCACATCACATCTCGAGGACTTACCCCGAACGTTCGGCTTCAGTACTTCTACTTGCAGATCGAAATCTTGCAATTTAAACGACTAATAGCCATCAAAAAAGCGCAGCGCCGGGAAACATCTGGTCATGATAGGTCAGGACTGAGAGTTTCGAGAAGGTCTCAAGTGCTACAAATCGAGGCAGAGAAGCCTCCGGACGGAACAGAGAACTCGTACCACTGATCTATGTCTACGTTAAAGTTGAAATATGAGTTTAGAGAGCTCTTGAATATAACTCCGCAAATTTATAGCATGATTTTGGCATTGTACTGTATCGTTTACGTTTCCAAGCAGTTCGCAGCCATCAGGTATCTTTCTTCTCATCCTTCCTATTCGATGGTATAATTAGAATGAACATCAAGCAACCGGTTTCACTCTTGAACGGGCCATGTTTCATGCCCGGTTTACGGTAGGCATATGCACCCTTCTGCCAACCCTGCTTCAACGTTAGATCATATAGATCTCCTTCCGTGAGATAAATCTCTTCCACGTAGTCATGAATAAAAATTTCTTGTTGATTGACTGAGCCCGGTTGCCAGCGCTGTAGAACAGTGCGGCGGCCGGTAGCTCTGTTCTCATTCAGCGTCACTACAACACTTGGAGTCAGTGGTTGCTTTCTCAGGGCAATGAAAGAGTAGAGAAGGGTCCCAATAGACATGTCTCGGAACCGAAGGTCCAGTTTGCTTTGTGCCTTTGTCTCTGATCCTCGAAACACAGCCATGATGGGCAAGACAAGAACTCCAGAAGATGCTTACTCTGGTCGATGCCTGGCTCGAGGGGTACCCATGTCCGATTTGGGGCAGAAGTTGCAGGATGGAACTCGAATTGCTCCATGGGTGCTCAACACTCTGAAAATGCTCAATTCCTTGCAAAGTACCCTTCGCTTTTGGGTGGAGAAGTTAAGTTTGTACAGCCGTAAGTGGTGTATTCTTGACTGACGAATGACGTATTTGCGAAAAAAAGCCGAGCGCTCAGGGGTTGACCAATCACCATGATGTGTGCTGACGTTTGATCGCCTATCGGCCATTTTCGTCGGCTTTTTCAACTAAACGACGACTAGATGATATACGAAGATCTGCAACAATAATCGATTCGGTCTGATTGTGACAAACCTGAGGAGGAGGAAAATTTGGGACATGCAACGATGCAACTGCATTATAGCGGCGGCTATCTTGATCTTCAAGATTATAGGCTGGGTTTGAGCGGCTTAGTTTGCCCAAGTAAACTCAGTTATGAAGACCATATATGATTAATTGCGAAGAGACTTTTATTAGATCGCCTAAACATACGCATAAAACCATGATGGCTCTCGTTTTCAACCCCTCACTAGCAGTGATGGTAATAACACCCCTCCCTGCTTTGCGAACTACCCTACGTGGCAAGCCAAAATGCAGATACTTTGACTTCAGAACAGCCTCAAAGATAACCAACGAGGTTACTGAAGCGCACATGTCAAGCGAACTACTATTACAGATATTGCATGCTGTGACAGAACGGGAGCCCCACTAAGTAAGTAGTAAGCTCCCCAAGCCCAGACAGGGGCCTACACAGTATATATATATGGTGTGCAAGCACCCAAATCTCTTTTGTATGATCGATATAGTTCAATGAACTTTCCATTACCGATTTATATGCTCGTACGCGCTCTACAGCTTGTCACACATGCATAAATGGCGATGGTAGGTATTTGAACCCAATGATGATTTGGCCCGCATCCACTCATCGAGCCAATTAAACCATCCACTCTACTCCTGGGTGACATTATGCGTACTCCTATAGTGAATACACCGACTCTTATCTCAGTTTACAATGGCTCAAGGTTTTTTTGGATCCTGAAACCAAAGAGCGTGCGGATTAGAAGCCACGGGTACTGATCTGTGATGGTTTCGGGACTCATGAAACCCTCGAAATCTTCGAGTGCTATTTCGAAAAGAACATCATCTTGTGCCATATCCCTTCTCACATCTCCCACAACTTCAGCCCTGTGATATATCAGTATTTAGTCCATTGAAAACAGCCTATCGGGACCAGGTCGAATGCCCCGGTAGCGCAAATGTGGTAGTGAAGGGCATAAATTTCATTACAGTACTATAACTTACTCTTACTCAATAAGCCGCATACAGTCTGACCCTCAAGGCGAAGCCAACTGGCAAACACCATAGTGTTTGCTGACTAGGCTTGTAACAAGGCCCAAATATGACCTTCGCAGCCAGACTCGGGGGAGCGGGGGTGGGGGTGCCCGGGTGCCCCACTCATAGATCGGACAACGATAACATTAACTGGGAGGTTTTAGGGGACTGCCAGACGGGCACTAAGCACTAAGCTCCGCCAAGCGCGCACCTCGGCCGAGAGCAGCGCCGTCTCGTCCGCTTCGTCCGCTTCTTCAAGTTCCAGCACGCTGCCAATGGAGAGACCTCGCCGGCGCCGAAGACCGGCATTCTCGTGCCTGGAATGCAGGCGACGAAAGATAAAGTGCGATCGGAAAGATCCGTGCTCACATTGCGTCTCCGTCGCGATCCAGTGTGTGCACAAGGTCTTTCGAGATGCGCCCGAGACCTCCCCCGTCCAAAGCAGTACGCAGGGCCGGACAGCAGTCTCCTCACCAGTTGATACCCCATCCTTCCGTGCCCAAAGCCGACAATCTCGCACACATGGAAGAATCGTAAACGAAAGGGACAGGGCGCCGTCCAGGCCTCTGGTCGCCAGAGCGGAGATACCACAGCCCACACCAGCACCTACACTCGCGGGGCAAACCGAAGCCACCGCAGCTCAGACCCCACCGACCACCCGTGCCGAAGATGAGCAGCCAAGTGTACATGCTCTTTTACAACGGATACAGCATCTCGAGAATTCTTTGGCAAGAAGTCTCGTACCTGCGCACTCTGAACCCGGAAGGGAATTCCTTGATCGCCAACCGGTGCATCAAGATACACGAGTCAGCCTCTACAAGACAAGGACCATAAAATGGAGCTACTGGGTGAGTATGGCTGATGAGGTATGGTCTACAGTTACGTCCTTCTGCTACTTTCTACTGACTTCTACTTCAGTTTGACCTTATCAAGGCTTGCTATTCCGCGGCTGGCGGCGGCCTCTTGGCTAGCTACGGCGAAACAAACTACGACGACAAGCCGAACTCTTTTCACGGGCCTCATATTGAATCTCTGCTCGAAGAGATTAGGGATCTCCTGCGAAAGTCTAAAGTGTTCGCAAAATGTCTTAAGACGGGGCGGCCAAGCAAGTCTCTCGGGGGCGTTGGCTTTGATCTTCGGCCCCCCTCCCGCGAGCTGGCAGACACCATGGTCGATCTCTACTGTATCTCGTTTGAGTCGGTGTATCGGATAGTTCACGTGCCTTCGTTCCGTTCCGAGTACCAGAAATACTGGGACAACCCAGAGAGTGCCACGGCCAGTCAGTGTCTCAAGATCCTCCTGGTAATCAGCATAGGGTCGAGTCTACACGACCATGCGAATGCCACCACGGGTCTACGACAAAAGGTGCAACAATGGGTTCATGCTGCTCAGGCATGGCTTTCCGGCCCGCTGGAAAAAGATCGCCTGGACGTCGGGGGGCTCCAGGTCTACTGCTTGGTGATCCTTGCACGACAGATCTTCTCAATTGGCGGCGACCTAGTTTGGGTGTCGATGGGGTCGGTAGTTCGTATGGCCATGCAGATAGGGCTTCATCACGATCCCAAACACCTCCCGGTGATGTCGTTACTACAGGCTGAACTCCGAAGGCGGTTATGGGCTACTGTGCTCGAGATGGCGATACAGTCGTCCTTAGACTCGGCGATGCCGCCCATAATCTCCTTAGACCATTTTGATACTGAAGCGCCTTCAAACTACAACGACGACGAGATTGATGAGTCGACTATCGAGCTGGTCGCCCATCCGAGAAGCACCTACACTACTTCCTCAATACAGCTTATCCTCCTCGACTCGATACCGACACGCCTCCGCATTCTCCAGCTACTCAGCGGCCTTAAAGCAGAACTATCTTACCAGGACGTACTTTCACAGAGTTCGGAACTGACTGATTCATACTGCGCATACAGGAAGTTCGGCCAAGAGAACATCCACTCTGGTATGACCCCATTCCACAGGAATCTGATCGATTATTTCGTACGCCGATTTCTAATCCCCCTACACTGCGTATTTGCCCACAAGGCACAGGCAAACCCATTGTTCTTCTATTCTCTCAAAGTTAACCTAGACGTTGCTATGGCAATCGTCTCTCCCGAACCAGACGACGGCTTCTCACGAATCTTGGCTACCGGAGGGGGCCTGTTCCGTGAGGGTTTCTGGTATGCAACATCTATCATCGGCCGCGAGATTCTTTCGCAAGTCTCAGCGCAGCGTCGAGAGGGGACGCTCCATCGCAATGCTCAGCACCGAGAGCTTCTCAAGCAAGCCGTGAGGGATATGATCTCTTTGGCGGTGGCGAGGATGCACCAAGGCGACACCAATGTCAAGATTCACATGTTTCTGAGTATGATACTGGCACAAACCGAAGCTACGGAAGAAGGCGTGCCATGTGAGCTCATGATTGCACAAGGGGCAAGGGATAGCCTTCAGTTATGTCATGATCTGCTGAAGACACAAGCCGACACTGAGCCGGTGCTGTATTATGACGACGCGGGCGTCACGTCTTCAACTTTGTATGGGGTGCCGGAAAACTCGCTTTGGGATTTTGACCTGGATTTATTTCTGCCTGATATGGGGCTTTCGTAGCCTATTAGGCATTCGCTTATGCTAATGTTATCCCATGGTTGAGCAGGAGGCCAACAGTAGGCCCAAGGGTGGGAGCATCAGTAGCATGCAGCCAGACTGAGTAATGCAGGACGAAATTATAAATAGAACATAAATTAGACTAAAGTATCGTTCTCTGCAATTTTCACCTTTTTTTTTAATAAAAAAAAAGATGCGTCTATAGGACCGGTTAGGTCCGCTACTATGTGGGTTGGTTATACCCGCTCTGCTTACAGCCGCTCTAAGACCCCTGAGGCTTACGTCCGTCGCTAGCTCCGCGCTAGCATACGACCGTTGGCGAGCGTATAAGAGCATCACATCGGTAAGGCGTCTCGCGATTGATGGTGTTAAATTTCAATGAAATCAATTTTCAAATGAGAAGAAATTAGTTGTCTCATTCAACGCCCCTGCTCATTCCTCTTCCGCAATGCCTCTGAAAATTCTTATCAACGGTGCTGGCATCGCCGGCACAGCCCTCGCCAACTTCCTCGTGCGGTCCAAACAAAGTCACGACATCACTATAGTCGAGAAATCATCCAAGTTCCGTACCGGTGGAACCCAGCTTGATTTGAAGTCATATGGTGCCCCGCTAATGACGAAACTGGGACTGATCGATGCGGTCCGAGAAAGGAGCATACACGAGACAGCTTTGACTTTCGTTGACACGAAAGGCAGAGAGTGGGCGAGGTTCAGCGTCAACGAAGCCGGTAAAGGATACAAAGGAGTGACGAGCGAATATGAGATCATGAGGGCGGACCTGGTAGAGGTGTTATACGAAGGGAGCAAAGTGATCGCTACAAAAACCTTAGGAAAAGAGTCGCAGAGCCTGCGGTACCTTTTCGGAAAGCATGCGATTGAGCTTACGCAGCTTGACTCCAGGGTCAACGTCGTATTCTCAGACGGCTCTTCAGACGAGTACGATCTTGTTGTCGGTGCGGATGGCCAGAACTCACTGACGCGGCGTATGCTATGGGAGCCCAAGAAGGACTGCGATTCCACGCTTAGGTATACGGGCTACTCGGTTGCATACTTCCATATGCCAAAATCAGAGGAAGAATCCAACAGTACCTTGTTCAAAAACTGTCTTCTACCAGGGCTTAAGATACTGTCGCTTCGCTGTGCGCACAAGGACTTTACACAAGCCATGCTTACGATATCCACTACAGAGGAGTTAAAGGAGATTCTTAAACAGCCGGTTGAGAAACAGAAAGACATATGGGAAACGTTATACAAGGACTTCGGATGGGAAAGCAAACGAGTACTTGCCGAGATGCGGACTACTGATGACTTTTACACGACCACGGTTGCTCAGGTGAAAGTGGACACATGGTCCAAAGGGCGAGTTGTTCTGCTGGGCGATGCCGGATACTGTCCGAGTCTTTTAACCGGGCTTGGAACCACGGCATCACTCGTCGGAGCATACGTGCTTGCGGGCGAACTCGCGAGACATGGAGACAACGTCGGCCCAGCGCTAGAATCTTATGAACTGGTGCTACGACCTTACGTGGAACAAGTTCAGCAACTTCCTCCCATGAATCTCGCCATCTTTCGTTCTAAGCTTGTGTTAAATATATCTTACTTTGCTCTGGCAATTTTGTCGAAGCTCAAGATAGATCGCCTAGTCAATGCGCTGATGCAGGATGGGAAGGAAACCTGGCAGCTCCCACAGTATCCGGAGCTGGAATTAGAAGATTGAGCATTGCATTGACCGCCCGATATTCAACTTTGGTGGCGAATACTAGCTCTAATATATTTGTACTATTTATCATCTTATTTAAAATGCGTAATATCTTATCACTTCATCTGAGCTGGCGTGGACTTTGCTACACCTGTGACTAGAACTGCTTAGACGGGTAAATGAGGGTGCTCGGCCTTCCTCATCGTATTACTCTAGTTTGCGAGGGCCTTCATACATTACTACAAGAAATGACATGGGAGCTTACATGAGATATATTACATAAAATGAAATTTAATCCGAACGTCAGACTGTCAGATTTCTTACACATAATAAACACAGTCTTTCTTGACATCAACCAAGACACACTCTAGTGTCCTCACTCAAAGTGCTCCTTTTGATGCTTGTAGACTGTCTTGACCATGATACATGATAATAGCAAATACGTACAACAAGGAGCTTCGATATGTATGATAGTGCGGCCATGACAATGAACCTCAATAGCTCTGACAATACTGGAGAGACACACATTCAGAACAGTGAACCGCCTTCTCTTACATTGCACGGTTCTCAAGTCAGCAAGCCTAAGTAGTTATTTGTACTGACATATGCTTCTTGAATGTAGACTGCAGGTCTGTCACCAACGTCAAGCTCAAACAAATCAAGCATCCTCTGACTGACTGTGTTGTAATTTGCTATAGAAGGCATTCCTGCATTCACAAGACGGCCCCTACCTGCCTTGACAGAGCAGGTCGAAATGGAGGAAAAAAACTCCGTGATTGGCTCAATCTTGCGCACAAGCGGGGAGCTGTAATGCTCGAGGCTGATGTGTTTCTAGAGAAGAGAATGAATGCGGATCTGAAACGAAACAGCTTTGTCTCGGGCACGTAACTTCTAAGTCAAGTGTAAAGAAACCTTCCTTAGATCAATCCATGGCAACTGGTTACTATGGTAATATTCCTTCGCGAGATCGAGTATTACCAGGGCATTCTATTCCTCACAAGCAACCGGGTAGGCGTCTTTGACCATGCATTTATATCGCAATTCACGTAGTAATCCACTACCAAGATCTTGATGATAACTACTGCCGGAAGATATGAAACCAGTTTCTTGACAGAACTTGAGGCTGAGAGGGGCAAGACTATGCGCATTGACAACTCAACTAGACGATATGTGCTAGAGGATCCACGTATCCTTTGGGTTAAGTGGAACGGACGCGGGCTTCGTAATGGTGAGAAAGAGGCTCACTTCCAATCTATATGCTTAAGCCTCAGCCCTTTGGAAAGAAGCTTACTGGCCTATGGGCTAATGGAAACGAATTGTATAACTGACAAATCATCGATGAACAGCATTTCAAACAGCCGTCGCGCTAGCCGAGTGCCGTTTCTTGACCAAACCCGATTTAGAAAAGAGTGAGAATGAAATTGCTTTATTGGAGGAGAAGGACTTCAAGCAGATATGTGAGATGACAAAGAAATTCAAGGATGACTTGACAGCCATAAATTATGGGCGAACGAACAAGAGAGAGCCTTTCAGGAGCGGGTTAGGCGTTTAGATGAACAGAACCAAACTTGAGAAATCTTTTAAAATAGTATAATAAAATGTGTGATGTTGCGTGTCTATCACGAAGGGTTGGATGTTCGTATGTCAATATACATTACGTGATCGATTTCCGAGGACGAAGTTGATTCACATTTGCTGTAAAGCCCCTCTCAAGATCATTAGCTGAGGGATATCTTGAGCCAGACTACATACAATGCCGCATCGAGGACGGCGGGGTTCGGCTTAATTTTTGGATTCTATCACACATCCTCCCTGTCAACATTTAAACCAAGACAGCAAGCAGACAAGCAACAATCGTCGAGACGATGCCACCCAATGTAACTTGAAAAAAAGCACCCGCGTCAGTTACCACCGTCGTCGGTCTCGCCGGAGCAGAAGGGGTTGTCTCCGATGGTGATCCAGCTGGAATCGTTGAGGTCTTAACCGACAATGACGCTGCAGAGGGAGAACTTCCCACGCTCTCACCGGGCTGCTCAGCACCTCTACCACCAGTCGTGGTTGAAGCCTCCAAACTCTGTGATGTGGCAGTAGTTTGGGGCTTTGAATGACCTCCATTACCGATGATAGGGATCGTCATAATAGTAGGTTCGGCCGGAATCTGCGACGCGCTACCTCGTTCTACTGTGCGTGACCCATATGTGACCACAGCGGTACCCCCGTGGCTGCCACTGCCGCCGCTACCCGTCGGCGAGTTCACGAGCACGGGCTGTGCGTATGTCAGAGTGACAGGATGGCTAGCGCAGGTAGTGCAGACTGATGTGACAGTTGTGACCGGCGCTTGGGGTTCGGTCGTGCACGGCACAGTAATCGTCAATGTCACGGGTGCGGTCCAGAGTGGATCAGTACAAACTGTTGTGATGACTGTGACAGTGTTCACGATCGATTTTGTCTTGGGGGGTGATGAAGAGGTGATGCTAGGGCTAAGCGACCCGGTGCTTGATGAGATGAGCTCTGTTGACGATGACAGACTTCCGGTATGAAGGCGGCTTGACGAGCTTAGGGCCTCGCTGCTGGTTCGGCTTGATGCCGGCAGACTTGAGACCGAGACGGTGCTGGAGCTAGAAAGAGGGGAACTTGTACTGGAGCTGAATAGAAGAGAGCTCGTAGCAGATGCACTCGTTGATGAAATAGAGTAGGTAGAATTGCCGCCTATTGCTGTAGAGACCTGGGTTGATGGTGCTAGGGAGGTGGAAGAATTAGACAGTAGTATTGTGGAAGTGCCAATTGAAGAGGACGAGGCCGACAAGGTCACGGAAGAGCTAGATAGCAATGATGTAGAAATGTGAGAAACGGACGACGACGACGACGGCGACGACGACGGCGCGATCGAAATTGCAGAAGACGAGCTAGTTGAGTTTGCGGATTGGCTGGACGCTGACCATGTCGCTGTAGATGTAACAGACGAAGTTGCTGAGTTGTCAAACCGAGTAGATGTAGTTGCTGAAGTCGTCATCGTTATGGACGTAATTGAAGATGTTGCGGTTCCCCCGGCAATGGGTCCATCCCTATCAATATCTCCAGAGAAGAAGTAATCCGGACGAGTTCTGCTGATAAGGTTGTAGGTGATTGTCCTCGATGAGTACCCGATAGAAGTTCCATTTTCTAGCTGTATGGCAAGGCTGTACGGCATCGCGATCGAGCCAGAGCCCTTGTTGCCCATCATGTTTATTATGTTGAGTTGCAGCACCTCGTGCGTCTCGATACTACTGCTATAGATAGCCCGGAACTCCTTAACCTCACAACGCCGGACGGTCTGATTTGTAACATCTGTGGAATCTACAACGCGGTTGCTGTCGTCGAAAGTCATACCCAAGTTGACATGTGTCAGCTCGCAGCGGAACCCGTCATCCCCGCTGGACTGGCTGGATATCAGCGTCACAGATGTCCATGGGCCAACGGAGCCGGGCACTTCAACAACAAACGCAAAGAGCTGGCTCCCGTCATCCGATTCCACTTCACGGACGGATTCGTAAACACGCGAGCGGTCTATAGCTCGATAGTAGAGCGGTTCTAGGAAAGTCTTGCCTACAGTCTCCATTTCTACGAAGTAGGTGCCCGCCATCATCTCTGTCTGGAAATCAGGGTTTAGGCGGCAGCTGAGGTAGAAGTCACCCACGATATTGTCATGCCAGGTGACCCAGTCGTTGAAAGTGACGGTGAAGACGCTAGTCTCACTATCGAACAGTGCAGTGCCCACAAGGGCGGAGGTAGACTGCACATATTTCGATTCCGCGACGTCGACAAACACCTGCGGTAGGGCGAAAGACACGGTAGTGCCTTCGTAGAGACGTGTGGGAATGGATATTTGCACGTGTATTTCTAGCCAGCTATTGGTGTCGAACAGATCATGGGACTCCTCAGTATTTTGGCGATAGAGAGACAGATCGACGAAAGCGCCGGCAAGGCCGGTGGGTTGAGCGAAGGCCTTGAGAGTGGTGGTAATGCCAGGCACAGAGGTGGCACTCGTGATCGGTGCGCTTGTGGTGGTGACAGGCTCGCTAGTGGGCAATTGTACGCTGCTTGTAGCTTCTGTAAACGTAGGTGCTGCCGTAGAAGAGGATATAGTAGAACTAGTCACGCCCGGAATGGGGTCGTCGTTCAATTGAATCGAAAATGGGTCCGAGAGGAAGAGTTGCCAATCCTGGGGATTGGACCCATCGCCGAAGACGCGAAGAGCACGACTGAGAATTCTATAGCGACCAGAAGGGATCTCTGTTCCGTTGGAAAAGCTCTGGAAAGTGTTGAAGCCCACGTTACTGAAACGTATTGGAAACTTCGTAGGGAAGTCTGTGTAATATCCGTACACGTCCGGCTGCGTACGGACTGGTCCACGCCACTGGTTTGAGGCCGGCCCAGCCGTCAATGGGTAAGCAAAATCGTCAGTGGTGTAGTCTTCGCCGACAAGATCCATAGAGAACTCATACGTGCCGTACCGCAACGCGAAGTAAATTTCGGGAGATGAGAGCTCGGCAGGCTTGTACGGCTTGCTCTCCCAGTCTACGGGATACAGGTACCCGCTTACATCGTCGTAACGGAACACCAAGGGTGAACCCTCCAGTGGTGTCCAGTTGTAGGTCGAGGCTTGAACGCCCATGTAGGGAACTGCAAGTGTCTCATCGTTCTCACCTTGGAAGACGACCTTTCCGCTCCAGACCACACCACTGCTATTGTCGGAGCTCATGGGAGAGTGGAAAGTGACGATCACATCTTGGGTCGAACCGGCAGGGATAGTCACACTGTCTGGTGCTTCTATGGATCCCTCAACATCGGCCAGAAGGGGTGGATAGTATACATATGGGTACAAATCCTCGTCGCGAGATTGGACAGTGGCAGCAATAGAATGAGAAATCTTGTAGGTGATAGCCTCGGAGCCAGCGTTCTGCAGACTGATTGTGTGTGTATTCACGCGATTATCAGTATCGTTGAGCGAGATTTGGCGGTCGGACAGAAGCACTGTTTGGTAGTCAAAGACCTTGACAGCATCGATGAGGCCGGCACCCTGTTGAATCAGCGGCGCAATAGTACCGACAACCTCTACATTTGTGTCGTCATATGCAGGAAGGAGAGCGGCTGTGGAAGACAGGCGGCGAGCGAACTCCGAATGGTCTTTCTTGACGTGAGCATAGTATAGGGCGGCTACGCCGGCCACATAAGGCGCTGAGAAGGATGTGCCTGAACCGACGGCGTAGGTATTATCTGGGAATGCACCGTAGACAGCACCACCCGGTGCTGCGACAGAAGGGCTGAAATCATTCTCGAAGCTTGGCCCCCAGGATGAGAAGTAAGAAACCTGGCCAGCACTAGGACGGTCGGAGGCGAATGCCGCAGTGTCAGCATCAACTTCGATCTCAAGCGTGAGATTGTATTGTTCGGCAATCTGCGCTTTCACCCACTCCCCTACAGATGCATCGGTCAGAGCGAACAGATGCACCGAAGGATTATAATTGTCAACGTCGTCCACGTAAAAGACACCTTGGTTGTATGAGTCAAAGATAAGATAGTAACCAAATCCAGTGCTGCTGAGCTCATTGTATGAGCCCTGAGGGAAACAGATGCCGCGCTTGACGATGAGCGCCTGCTCTTCGCTCCCATACTGCTCGGGGTTGCACGAGTCACCCGCATCAAATGTGATAGGGGCAACTACGGACTCGTTGAGTTTCGCACCGTCCGGAGTGACATAAGATAGGTTGAACGTCTCTCCGCTTGATGAAACAATCAACGCAGGCCAGCCCAGGACCTGCTTTGCGTTCGTGGAGGCGACTGATATAACACCGCGACCTGAAGCAGGCGAACTGGCATAAAATGTACCTGTTTCTCCCGAATTCCCGGCAGCAATAATAACCAGTCGGTCCTTTGAAATCTCACTGGCCATGCGAGAAAGAATAGACCCGGAATATCCAGTCTCGCTACCGATCGACACTGAGACAATGTCGCAGTCATCCGCATCAGCAGCCAATAAACCCTTCAAGAGCAGGTCATCTGAGACGCTGTTCTCACAGGCGAAAACCTTGTACATGAACACTTCAGCCCTGGGCGCCACACCTGTAAGGTCTTTGGTGGAGCCCAGGATCACAGATGAAACAAAGGTACCGTGGCCCATGCAATCTTCGAAGTTATCATTGTCTTCAATGAGGTTCTTGCCGCCAACTATCCTGCCAGATAGAGCAGGATGTGTGGCATCTACACCACTGTCTACCACACAGACTCGTTGGCCTTCGCCGGTGAATCCTCGCTTGTGTAATTCATCAACCCGAGTTGTGATGTGCGGGTTCCACTGAGGACTTGGATCGGTGGTGTCGATTGTATCGTCCAGAGCGATGGCGTAGACAGGCCACACATCCGCCACACCGGGAATGCCCTTGATGTCATTGATGCTGGCGTTTTTGTTGTTGGCAATCTGTACCGATACTCCCTGGAAGCGGCCAGACACCATGGAATAGTCGGTCTTAATCTCGACTTCGTAGCCCTTGATCCTCATGTCACCAAGTAATGTAGTGGCTCTGGAAGCAATATCACGCTGGCTGGTCTGAGCACCGGCCTGCAGCTCAACTATGAACTTTCCAGGAACAGCAGGTCCAGCTACAGCGGTGGCCGGTCGACGCGAAGCATTGATCTGCTCTTGACTCCATGCCGAGGCTCCGGGACAGGCCAGCACACAGGCTGCAGCAACGGTCTTGAGAGCTAGCGTCCACTTGGCCATGGTTGAGTATATGCCCTGTAATAGGGTAGATAATGAGAGGATAAGCTCAGTAGCTTCAAACAAAGTCCCCACGACAGACGTGAACGAGGCTGGTGGTATCAAAAAGGACATCAAATGTAACGCAACGCATAATACTTCCTACTTATAGCCTCTTCCCCCCCCTCCTTTCATCACATTGGGCAATACACTGAGCGATTTCGGACGTCTTAGCTCTTCGCTCGGTAAGCCAGAGCGACCTTTTTTTGTCGGTAAGAGGCATCGTGTCCGACCTGCCAAGTGCAGGCATTGCGAGCTTGGCTACAGCTCTACAAGGCACAGAATGGCCTAGTGTCGACCGAGGATGCCGCAAATCATGAGCAAAAAAAGGTACGAGATTAGGTCTAAAAGAGACAAGGGTCAGCCACGAAGACCCCTAGCCATGAGCTTTTTTTTCTCAACACGAGGTGGTGGAGTCAATAGTGCCGCCTTTATCAGATCATCTAATCTTATCAATCTGGATCTAAGGACTTGGCAGGTACAGTGTTCCCACTAGCCGGGTCCAGGGAAGTCAGTCAGAAGATGCCAGTTGCTAGGATTCGCAAAAGATGTCGAAATTCAGCAAAGTCTCGAAAGAATAAAATCATTTATATTCTTATCAGAATAATAGTCTATACCCAAGTACTATTAGAAGACTCGAATCTCCAGATACTTGACCGCGCTTCTCTAGCATCCAAGGAGCTGTATTTTAGGACTCCTCTGGGCGATCTCTCCTCCTTAAGTTAGTCGAGGGCTGCCGAGCAACGCCCCTCAAAAAGATCACGTTTCAAGAAACACCGTTCCGGTCCAGGCCGCCGACCCACTCCGCCAAACCGACTGGAAGCTTCCGGGCTCCAGCTTCCCAGCGCCGCCTCTAATATCATAAACAAGATAGATGTGGTCGAGTAGCGTGGGGTTTATCCAGCACTCTCACCATTCAATAATATACTGAAATCATCTTATAAATCATCTAGGGTTCGGGAGCCTGCCCTATTACCCGGGATGGCATCCACTAGGGCCGGATTTATTCGATGAGCTTTTTCTGGGCAGCATTGGTGATTAGGGGGGTGGATGCACCTTATAGGCGCAGACACTCCGCTGAGTAGCCTCGCCTCCATTCCCTCTACACCTGTCCACGGCCTCAGTTCCTTTTCACAGTCGCTGTCCTCTGTGACACAGCCCTCCACCATCTCCGTCTCGGTTCCGGTTGAGCGCCCGCTCCCACCCCCGGCCCCTCTCCCGCCTGCGGTCTTCCTTGGTCCGAACCTATTCGATTATCAGACGACTTCCCAAGTCTTAAATTGCCAACACTATAGCCGAAATTTCTTGCCCTAGCGTATACTCGCATACCTTTACAAGAAAGGCGGCCCGGCGCCATACACTGCAGGGTTCATATATACACAGCCCAGAGAGCCTGACCACACACTGTCCTTCACTTAGCCGAGAGATCAGCTTAGACATAGGTCAACCGTATACGTGTAGGCACGGTGTAACCAGGAACCGTAAGCGGTATTCTAGTGTCACTATAGGAAGATGGCTAAGGGCTAGTACTTACTCACAACCACCAGTCCACTTACCGTGCCAGAGATCCAAGTACGGGAGTATACATCTACTAGTACAAAGCGATATTTGGCAACTTACTGCTTTTAAGGAGTATCGCAAAACCGAGATGGGGATAGCCGGCCGGCTGCAAAAGAGCTGGTTAGCCCTACCAAAACCAGCGACCCGAGGAGAGAACATGCCTCCAAATACTCAATTTCAGACATTAGAAGATGCCCAGTAATAACAGGGCTATGTAAAGAACCCTTTATAGCTAAGCTGATGATCTGCCAACTCGATGAGCAGTGGGGGTTTGGCCCAACATCCGCTGTTCTGAAAGAGAATTACAAGAACGATACTCACCATGTTGCTATCTATCTTTCCCCCTCTGCAATATCCCCATACACCGCTAGGGGCAATTCCTTGGCTTATGGCGACGACGGAGTGGTATTGATGGTGGCAGTTAGGCTTGAATCGACAAGACCTTCTTTTAGAACTAGGTTATGGTTCACCAAGCCTTGCACTTACAACCCAAGCAGGAGGAAGCGGAAGCTTCCTTGGTGGTGGTGCTGGAGCGCGAATCACCCTGGACGACGCCCCTGATGGGTGGACAAACCACTCGGCCGTGGCTCCTGATTCTAAATCATTGCTCTCTGATGGAATAAGAAGAGATTGAGAAGTGAAAGCAATAACCAGCGAATGATGGGCGTTAAGACTTGGAGCACATACGAGTGGGTAAGATAGCCGACTTATATCGTGCAGTTCTATGGTGAATGTAGCTGGTAGTTTCTTTTCTTATCTTTCCTCAATTCATTTGAAGTTATCCCCTTGAATATCTTTCTCGCCTGTCGGCCTTTGATAGCCATTATCAGAGTCATCCAAGTACGCTTGGTGATGGCGTCTAATCTGACCAGCTTCAGGGTTCAAAATAATCCAACCCAAGCCCCACGCTCTCTACGAAACATAAGCACTTTGCACCTGGACAAAACTGCATCGCCATTGTTGTCATCCATTGTGGTGCCAGCAGTGCTCGGCAGTCCTCTGCGGGCGACTTTACTCCACTCCACCACCCGCAACTGCTCCTGGTAGAATGCATGCCCCATCCTCCGATGTTTTTGAAACTCTTTAAGTCCCGCAAGGTAATTAATCAAAGCTACTCTATGGAAATCTGCTTGTAGTAACATACGTCGGATGCAAGACGATACCTTCTCCGTAGTAACGGGGTTCCATGTGTCAGAGAGTTCCGCGTCAGACGGCCTGCGAACGAAGTCACAGTCTGCAAGTCTCGTGTCAGCTATCCGAAAGGCTGCAAAGAACTTCTCGCTTCTCTACAAGGAGCTGGGTCTGCGCTTTGATTATGAACCGAAGGACTACTGTCTTCATCATCGCCACCAATCCTACCGGAGATGCTGCTGCCATTGACTTCTAGTTTGCGTGGTAAGGCAGGACGTGGCTGCGCTTCGCCTTCCCTATTCTGCTTATTCTTCCTCCAAGCTTGCCGCCTTTGACGTTGTTTGATGCGGCTCGGTTTAGAGCGGCGAGACTTCACCCCTGAAGACGGAAATGGGTTTTGGTACACTTGAATTTCGTATCCGAGTATGGTATATGTAGGCCGGCAATTGGTTGACAAAGAACAAGGATGAGAGAGCGGTACCTTAACGCTAACAGCGGTAGCTGTCTTCTAAGACCCATGCTAACTTCTACCCGGCAGACACAAACTTTGACAGCTGTTGTCACATCCTGGCAGTGTCCAGCCTGGGGCGCCGCGTCGAATTAACTCCCGCCAATGGCAGGCGTTTGAGAAATAAATCTGTCAGGCAACTGCAGTTAAGCATGGATGCCAGAATTTATGATTGGTCAATTCAGTTGCGCGGTTGGCCACAAGTCTCTGGTTCCTCGGGAACCAAACGCTTTAGTGTACTCGTGATGCATCAACACCTCGATCAAGCGGCAACTCTACATTTTCACCACGATAGATACATGGCATATTTTATTGTTGATTGTACCAGCGGGATCAGTATTCTCAAAGCTTCCGGTACGTTTTTCCGAATCAGTAACTGCCCCTTCCGCCATGCCCTGAAAACTACTTAAGCAGCACCATTTCCACCCATCCCACCCCAAACCTTCTCTCTTTTCCTTAACCTCGACAAAGTCGTCCAGGAGAACGCACCAAGCCAACAATCCCACACCGCATCCAGCAAGGTAAGGGTTATACCTTCATTCTTTCCCAGCTGCCTACCTTCTGTCCCAGTCATCTACCTTCTCTCCCAGTTGCCTACCTTCTTTCCCAGTTGCCT